ACCTGAAGGGGGACACAGTTCAGACCACAGCACAGCAGCTCAGATAGCCTGGGTAGCGAACACACCTAGTTTCTCCAGGAGGTTGAGAGAGGAGGGCAGAGGAGAAGGAATTAAAGAAGATTCTGTGAATTGGTATACTATACCAAAGAAATGCAAATTTTGACAAGAGATTTTTCTACTAGGATCCCGATTATCATACTTCATTTCAAGATGTGGCTATATGACACTTTAAAATCTTTAAAGATATGAATAAATGAATAGAACTTTTGTAAAAAAAAAAATTTATGAAGAAGGTTCAGGATTCTTCAGAGAACTTTAAAGCAATTTTAGAAAACTGATCCATTCTCTTAAAAACTTCATTCATTCTCTCTGAAACAGAGCTTTGTGACTGTATCCAAATAACACCGTGAAAGGTCAAAACATTGAGGATGGGAGTTGGACTGCACTGGAGAAAGATGAGTGTGAAATGGAAAATGACAAGGCCAAGAGAGAACCAACTACCTACAAGGCACTCTTTTTAACTCTAGACTTAAGGTTAATGGGTTTAGAATTCGTTAAAATAGCCGGACGTGCACTAGCTTGATTTCAATATACACAGCGAGGCCATTGTTTTGAAGAAGACAAGATGAGGAGGCTCCGTGATGTGAAGGGTCTTTCCAATACTAAATTCTACAAATCAAAGCAGAATGCTTTACATACCCACTAGACTGCTGGTTTCCATCAGATCCCTGCAGGCCAGGCTGAGGGACCCCCTCCCCCCCTGCACATGATCGGGTAAGGGAGAGACCTCAGGAGGGTTCTAGGGCGTGTCTGTTCCATCTAGCCCCGTCCATATCAGCTGGACCGCAGTAGCAAGCTAACCTATTGGTTGGAGCGTTTGCCCCTCCCCCCCCACCTCCCCATGGTCAATGCGTGTCATAGCAGCAACTGGTTGAATAGTCAAACAAATGGTCTGACACTTAGCATATTAGGCTTTTATTATATAGAATTTTCCTTTTCCGTCTCTGAACATACTGTGTATGCGGGATTCCCCTACATATATATGCATTAAAGTTGGTTATTTTCTCCTGCTAATTTGCCTCATGCCTATTTGATTATTAGACCAAGGAACCTTGGAGATAAAGGGAACTTTGTTCCTCCCACAGTCTACACAACCCTGGGCCTGAGGAGTTCAGAAGCCAAGATTAATATAGTCAGATATAACAAAATATACATGTGCAATAAAAAAGAATAAAAACTAGGCCAAAACCGGTTTGGCTCAGTGGTAGAGCGTCGGTCTTCGGACTGAAAGGTCCCAGGTTCGATTCCGGTTAAGGGCATGTACCTTGGTTGGGTGCACATCCCCGGTTAGGGGTGTGCAAGAGGCAGCTGGTCAATGTTTCTCTCTCATCGACGTTTCTAGCTCTCTCTCTCCCTTCCTCTCTGTAAAAAATCAATAAAATATATTTTTTTAAAAAAGAAAAAGAATAAAAACCAGAATGTGGGAGTAATAGGCTGGCTGCAGTGTAGAGCAAGGACAACCTGAAAACTTGGTAAGCCCTTAAACTCTCTGCCTCTTCTACAGGAATGTGGCGGCAGTTTCCGGAGTGCTGCCTCCAGATAAGGATGCTCTTACATGACTAAGGGGAAAGATGCTCCTCAGTGCCAGCAGCAAGAGCCCAGAAAGTAGAAATGAAATGATTACACTGGCGTCATTAATTCAAAAGAACTCAGAGAGGCCACCTAGGGCTGGATTTGGGGGGAAGAGGGATAAGCAAGGGCTGTAGGGAGAAAATAATAAGAAACCAAACAACCAGCACTAGAGAGTGCTGAGAGAAGGTACTAGGTATCCAGTAAGTAAGCCGAAGGGAGAGGGCTCCGGCTAAGGAGAAGGGTACTAGATTTATTTGAGTTTCTCGAAAAGGAAAGAAATGAGAATTTAGATCATTTCAGGAGATTAAAGGAAGAGACAAGAGGAAAGCAAACCCTTCAGTGCACGTTCTAACTTCTGAGTCACACATTTTCCTTTTCCATCTCTGAATTTACTGTGCACTTGTATGCATTAAAGTTGGGTTATTTTTTTCTTGCTAATCTGCCTCATGCATATTTGATTATTAAACTAAAGAACCTTGGAGATAAAAGGAAGTTCGTTCCTCCCACAGTCCACACAACCCTGGAACCGAGGACTACAGAACCCAAGATTAATACAGTAGGATATAACAAAATATAACACACAATATAAAAAGAATAAAAACTAGAGCCGGGACCGGTTTGGCTCAATGGATAGAGCGTCGGCTTGGGGACTGAAGGGTCCCGGGTTCGATTCCGGTCAAGGGCATGTACCTTGGTTGCGGGCATATCCCCAGTAGGGGGTGTGCAAGAGGCAGCTGATCAATGACTCTCTCTCATTGATGTTTCTAACTCTCTATCCCTCTCCCTTCCTCTCTGTACAAAAATCAATAAAATATATATTTAGAAAAAAAATAAAAAGAATAAAAACTAGAATGTGGAAGTGATAGGCTAGCTACAAGTTAGAGCAAGGACAACCTTTAAATTTGGTAAGCCCTTAAAATTATATGAAAAGTCTGATTGCATTTTTCTATTGAGAGGGTTCTGAGCTTTTTTTTGTTTTGTTTTGTGTGTGAATCCTCCTCACCCAAAGTTATTTTTCCCATTGATTTTAGAGAGTGGGGGGGGGGGGGTAAAGAAAAGAAAGAGGGAGAAAGGGAACAAGAGAGAGAGAAAGAGAGAGAGAGGGGCATCAATGTGAAAGAGACACATGTGAATTGGTTGCCTCCCCCACACACCCACACAGGGCCAGGATCCAACCTGAACCCAAGTACCTGCCTTGACAGGGAATGAACCCAAGACCTTTCAGTTGGGAATTGGGGGGGTGCTCCAACCACTAAATGACACAGGCCAGGGCTCAGAGCTTTTATAAGCATTTCATCTTGCTTATTTACTGAACATCATACTATAAAATAAAATGTAAAAAAAAAAAAAAAGAATTTCAATGTGAGTTTTTATGAGCAACTGATGTATTATTAGGTTAGTTATTAATTTGTGTTGAGAAAGGATTAGTGAGAATGTGATATAGAAGATACATTCTTACAATTAGCTTAAGAAGTTCAAATGACAATGAGTACAAAGCCATTCAGACAAGCTTTACATCTATAATAAATTATGGTTTTATGTGCAGTTATCTTTTGGACATATCTGATTATATAACAGCTGAAAGGTTCAGTCTAACACTGTTACTTTGTTGTTTTGCTTATATTGTACACCCCCCACAAACAATATTTAGATTCATTACCTCTTCATGCTCCTAACGTTGCCTAGCAAATTATGAATACACCAACCAAAGGCACGTGTTCACTTTAGGTTTTGCTTTTGGTTTCTTAGTAAATAAAGACACTAAAAAAAAAAAATGTTAAAGACACTTGCATATTGAATATATTCACTAACAGTAATCCTTTAAAGTGGAGAATATGCATAATACACTCTTCCAAAGAAGTTGCACATTCAAATGGTAAGAACTAGACAGGCTTACATACCACAAATACTGTGTAAATAAAGCTCCTAAAAGTTTCCAACCTGAAACTCTAAGTGAAATCTACAAGAAACAAACACGGAACCACTGAACACGGGCTCTGACCACCCACAGAAGCTCCCTGTTGTTTGATACTGAATTTTAAAACATGTCCACTTCCCTGTAATTATGAAAACAAACTTGTGAGCCCATATTTGTTACTCCTCTCCCCTTTCAAGTAGGCAGAGAACTAGGAACCACGTTCGCATGCTCTTTTTAAAGTTACTTTAAATCATTGCTATGGCCCAAACCTCCCAGAATGGAATCAAAGGAACCCCAAGGCGAGGAAGGAACTACGGCGGAAGGAAAAACAAAACAAAAACACCTATGGGAGCAATGAAACCCAAGCGCAGTCCTTGACCAGCGGCTGACCTTCCTGGGACCGTACATTTTATTTTTTCCTTCTTCCCGAGGAGGAAAGAGGCTAAGCGGCAGCAGAAAGAGAGGCTAGGATCAATCTCAGAGGCCGATTAAAAACGCCCAGAAAACTACAGAGGCACCAAGGTCACTGTGGCTTAAGGGGCTTCCTTGGGGACTGATACTTCGAGGGCTTCCGAGGACAGGAGTGGGGGTGGGAGGGTGGAGGGGAAAAGGTGAGCAAGTGGCTGGAAGGACAGGAGTTCTGGGGAGGGGAGGGGAAGGGTGGGAGAGGAGGGGAAAAGAGAGGAGGGAGAAGGAAGAGAGAGGAGGGAGAAGGAGGGGAGAGGAGGGGGAGAGGAGGGAGAAGACAGGGAGAGGAGGGGGAAGACAGAGAGAGGAGGGAGAAGGCAGGGAGAGGAGGGAGAAGGCAGGGAGAGGAGGGAGAAGAGAGGGAGAGGAGGGGAAGGGAGAGGAGGGAGAAGGCAGGGAGAGGAGGGAGAAGGCAGGGAGAGGAGGGAGAGGAGGGGGAGACAGGGAGAGGAGGGGGAAGGCAGGGAGAGGAGGGGGAAGGCAGGGAGAGGAGGGAGAGGAGGGGGAGACAGGGAGAGGAGGGGGAGACAGGGAGAGGAGGGGGAAGGCAGGGAGAGGAGGGAGAAGGCAGGGAGAGGAGGGAGAGGAGGGGGAGACAGGGAGAGGAGGGGGAGACAGGGAGAGGAGGGGGAAGGCAGGGAGAGGAGGGGGAAGGCAGGGAGAGGAGGGAGAAGGCAGGGAGAGGAGGGGGAAGGCAGGGAGAGAAGGGAGAAGGCAGGGAGAGGAGGGAGAAGGCAGGGAGAGGAGGGAGAAAGCTGGGAGAGGAGGGGGAAGGCAGGGAGAGGAGGGAGAAGGCAGGGAGAGGAGGGAGAAAGCTGGGAGAGGAGGGGGAAGGCAGGGAGAGGAGGGAGAGGAGGGGGGAGACAGGGGAGAACCAGGGCAGGCCGCGGGCGGAGAGGTCGGCGGGTGCGGGGAGGGAAGGAGCCGGGCCCAGCCCCGCCCCGGGAGGCCCGGGAGGGAAGCCCGCCCGCCACCCCCTTACCAGCCGGAGGAGGACGCCCCAGAGCAGGGCGGCCCCGGCGCGGAGCGGCCGCGGCGGCCCCATCGCTGAGCTGGGCGCCCGGAGGCGCGGCGGGCGCTGGTCGGCGGGGCGGGCGCGGGGTCCCGGCGCTGCCTCCGAAGCCGAGCCGGACCGGAGGGTGGCGGGGCTTGGCCCGGGTCGCCGCTGTCGCTGGGGAGGCCACTGCGGCGCCGACTTCCTTTTCCGGCCACGCCCGGAGGACGCGGAAACCCCCGCGCGGAGCACGTGGAGCCGAGTCCGCGCCGCCGCCCGCCGGCGCTCCTCCGCCGCGGGGCCGGCCGAGTCTGCGTCCAGATGCCGGACTGAGTGCCCCCGCGGGGCTGGGAGGTCCAGATGCCGGACTGAATGCCCCCGCGGGGCTGGGAGGTCCAGATGCCGGACTGAGTGCTCCCCGCGGGGCCGGGCGTGTCTTCGTCGAGATGCCTGACCGAATGCTCCCCCGCGGGGCGGGGAACGTCCAGATGCGGGGCCGGAATTCTCCCGGCGGCGACCGGAATGCAGGGCTTTCCCAGACCCTCCTCCGCCCGGCGCCGCCGTGCCCGTCCCTGTCCAGGTGCCCTGAGCCCAGTCCGGGCTCCCCGGCCGGTCCTGGCCGCCTGCACACACAGGTCCCAGGTCCGGCACTTTGTGCAGAACCGCTGCGGCCACCCTCTCCAGGACACTACCCTGTCCCCTCCAAACTGGCCTCTGTTTCCATCCCCCAGAGCCCGTTATCTAAAGAGCAGCCCTTTAAAAAAGAGGTCTCTTTAAAAGTATGTCAGCACATGTCACACCCCTATCACCCTTGGTCGTAAGGTGACCAGATTTTAACATTGGTAAAGCGGGACACCATTGACGGGGGTGGGGGGATGGGGGGTTCTCGATTAAAAATTTGGTCTATATGGAGCAACAAAAATTTTCATAGAACGCAAAAATAGTATTGTAATACCCTGTTTCCCCGAAAATAAGACAGTGTCTTACATTAAGTTTTGCTCCCAAAGATGCGCTAGGTCTTATTTTCAGGGGATGTCTTATTTTTCCATGAAGAAGAATACGGTACACATTTATTGTTAAATGAAAATAAGGGAAATTTGTTACCTATTTACAGTACGGTAGTACGGTAGTTGGCAACACAAACCAGACAAACTGTGAATCCTACAGTATCAAGAACTTACTCATTTATTCAATGACAACCATGTCATCATCTTCTGGAACATCATCATAACAATCCAATTCCTGAATTTCCTGGTGAATTTCTTGTGACTCCATTTCTTTCAGAATCAGTGGACCAAATCTCTCATGTTTAGCCTGGGGGTGGGGTGGGGTGGGGGGGCCTTATTTTCGGGGGATGCCTTATATTTCACTCAGAAGGAAACCTGTAAGTAGGTCTTATTTTCAGAGGATGTCTTATTTTCGGGGAAGCACAGTAGTAACCTAACCCAGGCCAGGCATTGTGAGGGCCTGAACTGAAACAGTGGCAAAAGAAATGGGGAGGAAGAGATGGATCTAAAAGATTTGTAGCAGAGCCGGGACCGGTTTGGCTTAATGGATAGAGCGTCGGCTTGGGGACTGAACGGTCCCGGGTTCGATTCCGGTCAAGGGCATGTGCCTTGGTTGCGGGCATATCCCCAGTGGGGGGTGTGCAAGAGGCAGCTGATTGATGACTCTCTCTCATCGATGTTTCTAACTCTCTATCTCTCTCCCTTCCTCTCTGTATAAAATCAATAAAATATATTTAAAAAAAAAAAAAGATTTGTAGCAGAATTTTGAAACTGGGAGGACTTAGAGATGGAGGAGGATCCTGCCCTAGGCCATTTATTGAAATGATCACCACAGGAGGTGAGGGTGGCAGTGGAATGGGCGAGGGAGGAGAAATACTTTTGGATGTGAGATTGAAATGCTTGTGGGATCTTCTCCTGTCTGTCCATCCTAGTCTCTTCGCTTCCATGTTTTCCTTTTGTAAAATGGCTGAATGATTATTTCTAAATATTCACTTTTAACCATGGTGGCCCTTAACCTAGTGAATCTCCAAGTTGGCTCTGAGGCCGTCTACAAGTATTAGGTAGGATAAAGATGACCTGTGTAGAGGGCCCCCTTGGGAATGCACGTGGATGACCTTTAATTATCATCAGCTGAACTCAAGGTGTAGGCAGAGCCACTCCCTGGGAACGTGTTTCCCCAAAATGTGGGTGACTGTTATCTGTACTGATTTCTTATCTTTATTCATGTGCTTGGAATGAGGAATGAATAGGATCTTGACTTACCCAGGTCTTGATATGCTAAATCCTAAGAATGGGGGATTGAATAGGACCTGGGCACACCCAAAACTTATTTGATCTTAAACCCCCCTCTGGAAATCAGTGTGCTGTGTTGGCTGTGGTGGGGGTGGCTGTCCCTTCATCAAAGTGACAGCCTCCACCCAGCACCCAGCTGGAACCTATTTCTGTCTCTTGTCTCTTTCTTTTTTCTCAATCCCCAGCTCCTCCGTTCAGGAATCTGTCCTTCTCCCCTTCCGTGTGGGACTCGGATGAAGGAGAAGCACCCACTGCAGACCTGGATAATTTAAGTCAATGTATATTGTAGGAAGAGGTCAGGAAATATTGGCTCCATTTTACAAAAGAGCAAACTGCTAGGTTGGCAGTAGTATTAATACTTTAGTATAGAGTAGCAATTTTCAATCGTGATTGTTTATGAGACTCATATAGAAGAGCTTAAAAGGGTAATGATTGCTGTAGTAATACCTGGGTTCTCCTTTCCCCATGCAGATCCTAAATTTAATTGGTCTGATTGTAGCTTGTGTATTATATTTTTAAAAGCTCCTCAGTTAATTCTAATATGCAACCAAAGTTGAGAAACTTTGGCTTAGTCTGTGATTCTTCATAAATTATTTTTTATTTCCAAATTAATTATTTTCAGGTATGTAACAGGTGATTAGATATTTATATAATTTATGAACTGATGATCACTCTAATAAGTCTAGTACCTATGTAACACCATGCATAGTTATTACAATATTATTGACTGTATTCCCTGTGCTACATCCTCATGGCTGGTGTTTATATATATATATATTATTGATTTTTTACAGAGAGGAAGAGAGAGGGATAGAGAGTTAGAAACATCGATGAGAGAGAATCGATCAGCTGCCTCTTGCACACTCCCTACTGGGGATGTGCCCACAACCAAGGTACATGCCCTTGACCAGAATCGAACCCGAGACCTTTCAGTCCACAGGCTGATGCTCTATCCACTGAGCCAAACTGGCTTTGGCTCATGGCTGTTTTTATAACTGGCAATTTGTACATCTTAATCGCTTCCAACTTTTCATCCATTTCCTCCCACTCTCTTCCCATCTGGCAACACCATTTTGTTCTCTGAACCTATTCGTTTGTTTCTGTTTTGTTTGTTCATTTATTTTGTTTTTTAGATTCCACATTAAGTGAAATCACATGGTATTTGTCTTTCTAGTCGGTGATCCTAGAGTGTGGTTTCTGGACCAAGCAGTATCAGTAGGGACCTCTGAGAAATGCAAATTCCAACAGACCTACTAAATTAGAAACTCTGGGAACAGGGCCTACTGATCTGGGTTTTAATAGCCCTTCTAAGAAATTCTGAAGCATGTTAAAGTTTGAGAATTACTGGTTCAGAGCAACATTGCTTAACTGTGGTTGCATATTAAAATCATCTGAGCTAAAGGTTTCATCACTTCTCTCTCAATAATTGAAAAAACAAGTAGTTAAAAAGTTAGTAAGGATACAGAAGACTTGATCACACCATCAACCAATTTCACCTAACTGGCATTCATAGGACACTCCACCCAACAACTGTGTAGCACACAGGATCTTCATGTGTATGCAGGAGCTTTGCCAAAACAAACCATTTGGCCTAAAATAAGCCTCATTAAATTTTAAGTTTTCAAATCATACACAGTATGTTCTTTGACTACAGCAGAATTAAATTAGAAACCAATAACTGAAAGGTAGCATGAAGATCCTCAAATAATTAGAAAATAAACATATTTCTAAAACCCATGGACTGAAGAAGGAGTCACAGGGAATTAAGAATATATTTTGAATTGAATGAAAATGCAAATGTGACAAATCAAATGTGGGATGCAGCTAAGACTTTAAAAAAAAAAGTGCTTACAAAGCTACCTGTAGCATTTATTTTTAATATATTTTATTGATTTTTTTCACAGAGAGGGAGAGGGATAGAAAGTTAGAAATGGCCGAAACCGGTTTGGCTCAGTGGTAGAGCGTCGGTCTGCTGACTGAAAGGTCCCGGGTTCGATTCTGGTCAAGGGCATGTACTTTGGTTGCGGGCACATCCCCAGTGGGGGGTGTGCCAGAGGCAGCTGGTCGATCTTTCTCTCTCATCGACATTTCTAACTCTCTATCTCTCTCCCTTCCTCTCTGTAAAAAATCAATAAAATATATTTTTTTAAAAAGATTAAAAAAAATAAAGATAAAAACACAACAAAAATCAAACTTATTAAAAAAAAAAAGAGAGAGAAAGTTAGAAACATCGATGAGAGAGAATCATCGACCAGCTGCCTCCTGCACACCCCCCACTGGGGATGTGCCCGCAACCAAGGTACATGCCCTTGACCAGAATCGAACCCGAGACCTCCCACTCCACAGGCTGTGGCTCTATCCACTGAGCCAAACCAGCCAGGGCACCTGTAGCATTTATTATAGAAAAGTATAAACACAATCAATGACCTAAAACTCTACCTTAAAAAACCAGAAAAGAGCTAATTAAACCCAAAAGTCAGCAAAAGAAAGGAAACGAAAATATCTGAGTAGAAATAAAATTTAAAAAAGAAAGAAAGAAAGAAAAAAAGCAATAGAGAAAATTTGTGAAGCCTAGATCCTGGCTTTTTGAGAAGATTGATAGATTTTGGAAACTCTAGACAAAATTGATTAAAGGAAAATGAGAGAAAATACAAATTACCAATGTCAGGAAAAAGAGAGGGAATATTACTAACGGTCCTCAAGACATTAAAATAACAGCAAATGCCCAGCCAGTGTAGCTCAGTGGTTGAG